AGTTCCTTAATATAGAAAAAAAAATTAAACGGCCCATTTTTCATGGAACTACAATAGAATATTAAAAAAATTCTTAAAGCTTTTTTAGTTATTATAGGTTCACTATTTCTCAATATTATAACTTTGCTAAAAAGAAATTTTAACTACTTTATAGTACACCCTGCTGAGATGATACATAAAAGTTAAACAAAGTCCTCATAGACCAGCCTCATTCTTCATCTGAAATAAAGATTATCTCTCAAGGAAAAACTCACCCAAGAATATCCCCGCAGTTGCAAGGGATGTTGAATACAAAAGGTAGAGGATGGGGGACTACAGAAGAGGAAATAACAATGAATCATGAGGGATATAAAAAAAAAGTGCAAATCTGAGACAGAACACTGTCTCTTCACTTACAAGTGTTTATTAAAGCTGTAGTAAAAGTAAACCATTCTAAAAATTCGAAGGACATTTTCCTTTTGGGAGCAAAGGCAACTTAATATGAGAAGAGAATTCCTCTCAGCTGTTTTTAACTTCACTTATTTTTGTCACTCTTAAGTACACACTATATGACTACATACATGACTACATGTCCCTGCCATGGCAGGGGGGTTGGAACTAGATGATCTTTAAGGTCCCTTCCAACCCAAACCATTCTGTGATTCTATGACTTAAAACATGCAAAGTCTAAGGTTTGAACTGACCCTGACAGATTTAATAACGTTAACATCTTACCCATAAGCAAGCTTGTTAGGCTTTCCTGTAACGTTTCCACAAGAGCTTAGCTTGAACACAGCACCTGGTTTTCAGTCAAACCCAAGCTCTCTCAAGGGTTTAAGTAAAGAAAATACTACTGTTAACACCTACTTTAGACCCGCATTTGAATGTTGAAACTACACATTGGAAGATCTTCCTAAAAATGTCTCATTCCAGTATAATACACCATTGTAGCTCTCAGCCCCAAAGGGATCGTTATGGCCATTGCTAGCCTATGGTTGAAAGATCTTTGGACCACTTTCCAGTCCTCCTACTGTAAAGGCCAGCATTTTCTCAGTGGGGAGACAGTTTAATTTGGAAGTGAGCATTATGAATTTCTTTTCATATATTTGTTCTCTGAGCATGATATAGGAAATAAACGTGCAGTTACATGCATCTTCCCAAATGGATATTCACTATTGAGAAGATCACAGAAACACATCAGGAAATGTTTATCCATTCCAGCTGCACTTGACACATTCTGTACACAGGAAAAAAAAAAAAGTATATTTGCTTTAGAACCTGACAGACCATATTAACTGTGCTAAACAGAAGCAACGAGTTATGTTTTCTATTCACCATTTTCCACCTGTATTTCTACATGCTGCTTCAACCAAAAATGACAGAAACAAGTAGGCATGCTTTTACTGTAATGAGTCAGATCAGGTTCCAAGGTCAAGTTGTATCACTTCTTTCAAAATTGAAGGTAACTGCATGTGCTATTACAGTCTTTTAAAAGGACTTGCTATTGAGACAAAATTACCACGTCTTAAGATGTTAAAAACACTTCCTTTGCCAGACTTCTTTAAACTCAACACCCTCAGAATTATCCATGAAGTCATAAAATCCTGCTGTTAACCCGCACGTTATTTTGGCTGCAGATTTTTCAAAGGATTTGCATTATGTAAACCATAAAGTAACAAAATGAAAAGAAGATGGGGAAAAAAAATTAACTTCAATTTTTAACAGTTTTTACAAGCTTTTGCTTTTTCTTTTAAACACAGATACTGGGTCTTCAGTATTTCTCATTCAGCTTTTAAATAATACAGTAAAATGGATACTCTCCTGAATAACAAAACACACAGGAAACCTGCTAACTTAACTGAAGAACACATTACTAATTTATTTTATGTATCCTGACATCAGTCAGGTTTTTCTAAGCTTTTACGTAAAAATGGTAGGTATCATCAAACAAGCTGAATGTTAATGACCACACACTATCTTGCTGCCCTTCCTCTCAACCTCCCTCCCCCAACAAAACCTACAAAGGCAAGAGTACTCACTGTTTGGGACTGTTACCTACTAGTCAGAGATATATTTCTTCTCCTAGCGGTGACACAACATGCAGCCAAATTAAGGAATTTTGGTAATAACAGCAGCAGTGCAATTAACTCCAGGAATACATACTTTTAAGATTATTTGTCTATAGGCTTTCAAACAACACAGCTATGAAAAGGTGTTACACAATCCGATCTGGCCATTTCAGTGGCAAACAAACAACAGTCCCTAAATAAAAGTCAAAAAAACCCACAACACTATCTATTTGAGAATGTACTTTTTGAAGTGGATAGGTAATTTTAATTTTTCTTCTGGAACATCTCTCCTTCCAGTAAAATAGGTCCAAGTATTTTAGGCCAGTCTGACAAACCTATTGGGGAGTTTTAAAATACTGTTTATACCTCAGAATATTTCTTCTTAAAAGTCATGAAGCAAGACAGTAACTATAAGTGACATTAAATATTTTATAGCAGTTTAATACCAAACTGTTTTTTCGACTACAAAATGCTACTTTTCTCCAAATACAGGCTTCAAACACCTCAGATTTAACCATTTATTTGAAGATATCTGGAAAAGCAAAAAGTCTTAATCTGATTTCATGAGCGTATGCTGAGCACCCTTAGGCATCAGTATAATGCTGTGCGTTCCTTTTTCAGCCTCTTCCTGGGAACGCTGGCTACTACTCTGTAGATGATACTACACACTGGCAGCATCACAACTATTACTGAATTTCATACTGGCTTTAAAGAACAAGGCAAAGCTTCATCTTCCCATGACGTGCGATTAGAACAAGAAGTTTTACAAAACAATGTATTTACAGAGAGAGTAAACACTTTCTTTCAAAAAGCTTTTTTGCTTTGAGGGGTAGGGGAGGTTCAGGAGAAGGGAGAGAGGGAGCCTCAAGCAGATGGAGAGAAATCATCCTATGTCCATAGCTACATCCAGGACAAATCTAACATCACAAACTCAAGGGAGAAAATATGCAGAAGACTGCTGCCTGACTTTCTGCTAACTGGCTAGTTGGAATACCATAACTCATAAAAGT